TGGCATAGTACTTTATAAAAAATAAGTGATCCACATAAATCATTGGCATTTCCTTCTTTCTTTTATTTTTTGGCAATTGGGGTTAAGTAACTTGCCCAGGGTCACACAGCTAGTAAGTGTCAAGTGTTTGGTCTGAGGGCAGATATGAACTCAGGTCCTCCTGCCTTCAGGGCCAGTGCTCTATCCACTGCGCCACCTACCTGCCCCAATCATCAGCATTTCTATATATTACCAACAAAGCCCAACAGCAAGAGATAGAAAGAGAAATTCCATTCAAAGTTACTATAGACAATATAAAATATTTAAGAGTCTACCTCCCAAAACAAACCCAGGAACTATAGAAACACAATTACAAAACACTTTTCACACAAATAAAGTCAGATCTAAATAATTGGAAAAACATCAGTTGCTCATGGGTAGGCTGAGCTAATATAATAAAAATGACAATTCTACCTAAGCTAATTTACTTATTCAGTGCCATTTCAATCAAACTACAAAAAAATTATTTTATACAGTTAGAAAAAACAATAACAAGATTCATTTGGAATAACAAAAGGTCCAGAATATCAAGGGAACTAATGAAAAGAAATGCAGGGGAAGGTAGCCTAGCCATTCCAGATCTTAAATTGTATTATAAAGCAGCAAACATCAAAACTGCTTGGAACTGGCTAAGAAACAGAGTGGTGGATCAATGGAATAGGTTAAGTTTGGAAGACCCAGTAGTCAATGACTATAGTAATCTATTATTTGATAAACCCAAAGACCCCAGCTTCTAGAATAAGAACTCACTCTTTGACAAAAATTGCTGGGAAAACTGGAAAAGAGTATGGCAGAAACTAGGCATAGATCAAAATCTCACACCATATACCAAAATAAAGTCAAAATGGGTTCATGATTTAGATACAAAGGCTGATACTGTAAGCAAACTAGGAGAGTAAGGAATAGTTTACCTATCAGATTTTTGGAGAACAAAAGAATTTATGACTAAACAGGAGATAGAGAACATTACAAAAAGCAAAATGGATAACTTTGATTACATTAAACTGAAAAGTTTTTGCATAAAGTCAATGCAACCAAGATTAGAAGGTAGGAAATTGGGAAAGAATTTTTACAACCAGTCTCTCTGATAAGGGCCTCATTTCTAAAATATATAATTAAGTCAAATTTATAAGAATACAAGTCATTCCCCAATTGAAAAATGGTCAAAGGATATGAACAGGCAGTTCTCAGATGAAGAAATTATTTGACTATAGTCATATGAAAAAATGCTCTAAATCACTATTGATTAGAGAAATGCAAATCAAAACAACTCTGAGGTACCACATCATACCTATCAGATTGGCCAACATGACAAAACAGGAAAATGATAAATGTTGGAGAAGATGTGGGAAAATTGGCTAATGCATTGTTGGAGTTGCAAAATGATCCAACCAATTTGGAGAGCAGTTTGGAACTATGCCCAAAGGGTTATAAAAATGTGCATACCCTTTGACCCAGCAATAGCACTCCTAGGGCTATATCCCAGAGAGAGCATACAAATGGGAAAAGGATCTATATGTACAAAAATATTTATAGCAGCTCTTTTTGTGGTATAAAAGAATTGGAAATTGAGGGGATGCCCATCAGTTGAGGAATGGCTGAACAAGTTGTGGTATATGAATATAATGGAATACTATTGTGCTATAAGAAATGATGAACAGGCTGACTTCAGAAAAACCTGGACTTTTATGAACTGATGCTGAATGAAGTTAGCATAACGAGGAGAACATTGTACTCAGTAATAGCCACGTTCTGCGATGACTAACGTTGATAGACTTAGCCCTTCTCAGCAATGCAAGGATCTAAGACATCTCCAAAGGTCTCATGATGGAAAATGCTATCCACATCCAAAGAAAGACCTATGGAGTTTGAATGCAGATCGAAGCATACTATTTGCTATTTTTTTTTCTTCTGTTGTGTTTTGTTTCCTCTTTCTGTTGGTTCCTCCTATTGGTTCTAATTCTTACCTACAACATCACTAATGTGAAAATATGTTTAATAAGAATATATACATATAGCCTATATCAGATTGTGTGCCATCTTTGGGAAAGAGGTGAAGAAAAATTTAAAACTCAAAAGCTTATGGAAGTGATTGTGGGTAATTCAAAATAAATAAATTAAAATTTTAAAAAAATTAGTGTTTTGGGGTGGCTAGGTGGTGCAATGGATACAGCACTGACCCTGGAGTAAGGAGGACCTGAGTTCAAATCCAGCCTCAGACACTTGACACTTACTGCGTGACCCTGGACAAGTCACTTAACCCCACAGCATAACCAAAAAAAAAAAAAAAAATTAAGTGTTTTAATCAATGTTTAAATGAAAAACAGTAACAACACTGAATTGAATGGAATTTGATTGGATCCTGGATCCTTACAACAACACTAAGACCTAAGCCATCATACAGAGTACTGAGGCCGAGAGGTATTGGACCCCACCTTGAAAACAAAGAAAAATAGTTGAGCCAAACAGACTTGTCCAATAGTATGTACAACATACTATACCCATGGGTCCCTTGCCTCATTTTTTCAAATAAGCTTTTGCTTTCAATTAATTAGCATCATTTACCATAGTTTGCAATGGTATTTCCATTACATAATACATCACAATTTATTCAGCCATTTCTCAATGAATAAGGACATATTCCTCTAGTTGTTTTATTCCCACTACCACAAAAAGTTGTGCTATGACTACTTTGGCATATATGGTGTGCATACATATATGTGATGTCAGAAGAAAGTGAGGGGAAGGCCTCTAGAATGTTGAGTGGACGCCTCTGATGAACTGGTTTGGAAGACCACGGATGGGTTGTGAATCATTTCATAATCACAAGACAAGCAGCCGATAGGTTGTGATTTGCATCATCAAAGGGAATATCAAAATAAAAAACTCACACACCAAATGAATTTGATTATCTGAGTATCTAGATACCCTCAACACCTATATATACCTGATGTCTTTGGGGGATATGCCCACTAACTGTATTGCTGGATTGAAGTGTTTGAATAGTTTAGCAACTTTTCATATAAAATTTCAAAGTTTTCTGGAATAGCTGCATCACTTCACAGTTCCATCATATTAATGTGCCTCTTTTCACAGTGTCTCCAACACTATTTGTCTTTTATAATTTTTGCCAATTTTATGAGTGTAAGGTAAAATATTAGTTATATTTGTATTTCTCTTATTAGTGACACTCCTGGTGATCTCATTCACTGCTAAAGCTTTGTTAACACCTGTGACTCACAAATCTCTATCCTTAACTTATTCCTGGAGCTCCAGATCTGTAGAAGGAGGCAGAAGGGTGAAGCAAAAGGAACACACGTACTTAGAGCCAGAGGACATACATTTAAATCGTGCCATTGGTGGTTACTATCTGCTCTATCTTGGGCAAGTTACTATTTGGTACCACCCTAGTTTCTATTCTTATCTCAACCAAGGATACTCACTGGCTCCCTTTCCGTAATACTCTTTATTTACTTGCTTGCCTTCATGCCCCTGGTGAAACTGCTCTCTCCGAGATGCCCTCTTTACCTACTGAATTCTTTATCTAGCCTTTAAAACACATCCCAAATGGGATATCCTTAAGGACACCTTTCCCGAACCCCACTGTCAATAATGACTTTTCCCCAATTAGGAAGCACATAGCAGTTTCCCCTATGCACTTACGACACATTACTTTAGTGGTGAGGTCATCGGCTATGGTAAGAATATAGGAACTGGAGAGTACCCACTAACTCTTACTACCTATATAACAAGGCACTTAAACTCTCCAAGACTGTTTCTTCAACTGCAAAACAGGAGTGACGGCAATATTTACAATACCTACCTCATGGTTGCGAGCTAAGTACTTTGTAACTTTAAAGCATCTCATTAAATATAATAGATAAAGTAAATTGGGGAGAGGAAAAACACTAGCAACTTAGGGGAATAGTCAAGAAATGGCTCATGTAGGAAGTAGTAGTTGGTGAAAGCTTTAAAGGGAGCTAGGAGTTCCAAGAGTAAGGACCAAAGAGGGATAGTATGCAGGAAATGGAAACTGCTCTGCAAAAGCACAAAGATGGGCAATACGATTAAGTGTACAAGAACCTATTTGTCTGGACCACAGCATATAAAAGGAGTAAAATGTATTAAGTCTGGAAAGGTTGCCTGAAGGCAGATTAAAGAGGCCTTTAATACCAGAGGAGGTTGTAACTTCATCCTAAAGACAATAGGTACCCACTGAAGTTTTTTGAGCAAGAGAGTGGTAAGGTCGGATCTTTAAGAACATTACTTTGTCAACTGTGAGAAAGGTGGATTGTAGAAGAGGGGTTTGAGGTGGGGAGATTAGGAACCTATTACAACAGTCCAGGTAAAAAAGGTCACCACCTGAATTAGGGTGGTGACCACGTAAGAAGGGGAAAAATGTGACAGATATTTGGCAGAAGTGACAAAATTTGGCAAATGACTGGATGTGAGGGGTGTCAGAAAAAATGAGGGGCTGAGAAAGTCTCTGAGGTTATGGACTAAGAATGGTGGTTATCTTAATAGAAATGGATGTTAAGAGCAGGGGTGGAGCTTGGGGACCAAGGAGGAGAAGATAACAAGTTCCATTTTGGACATGGGTGTGAGATTCCTATGGAATCTATGGTGAAGTGGACCTGGAGCTCAGGAGATAGGCTAGATCTGGAATGCTTATGCAGAGATAATAAGTGAACCCACTGGAGAGGATGAGATCATCGAAAGGGCGACAGTTACTCTTTCATGAGACATACAAAAGGTTGGAATCTGCAGCAGTTGAACCATAGCAATGAAATCATGTACCTTTGAATTAACTCAAATACTGTATTTGTATAAATTAACTGACATTTATTATACTGAGGCACAGGGAGTGCAACTGTGAGTACCACTCATGTTACTTTGGATTTTATTTTTTAAAAGTACAGTTGATCTTCCATATATTATGAGAGAAAAAAGACACAAAAAAAAACAGATTAATTCAAAGTTTAATCCACATAAACTATTATTGGTCAGTATCTTCAATATCTTCATGAAAATATCAAAATTTGTGAGTACTGGCATATGGCAGGAGGAATTTTATTTTTGTTACAAATAATACAGTACTGGTGTTTCCACTATGCATAAGCTATGCTGCAGAAAGAGCGATTGCATTAAATCTCAATTCTTCTGGGTCCCGTTCCATGAACTTCTTGCAAACTTCTATGGCATCCTATAAACAAAAGACACAAAGATATGATATCTCAGTTTATGAACAAAAATATTTTCACTAACAAAGGCAGCTGCTAAGTAAACACATAATTGTTATTCTAATTTATAGAAGTTATATACAGCAGACTGTTGTCATCCTAAAAATCAGATTCAAAACTGACTTATTTCTATACTTCCACAATCCCACAAAGTCCCTCCAGGAGTTTAAAAAAAAAAAAGCCCAATTCTTGCTGCTGCCCAACTTTATCACCTATTACCTGATGCTCTTCATTTGTTCTCTTAAGAGCTGTAAGTCATTCCTTTGATGCAGATGGGAAACTGTATTCTTCAGGTCTTAGGTTACAAAAAATCCTTTAAACCAGGTTATGCTGAAGCCTACCAGTTCTCACTGTTTTCAGTGTGAGCATTTACACTTCAGAAATTGACAAATGTTAAAAATCAAGGCTTAATTTACTTGTTTCTGTTGATTGTCAAGACTTAGGAAAGTGATACGGAAAATATTAATAATGCAGATAAAATTTAAAAGTGTGTTGTGCATACATTTTTTGGGAGGGCAAGTTGTTAAATATTTATCAGCACACCAATGGGTTAAACTTACGAAATGAGTAAAATGGGATTTTTAAACATAATTTTTAAATGTAACTTGTGAGTAGTACTTTTAAGGTAATGATATAAACAATGTCAACTGCTTATGTTCTGACTGTAAAAATTTACGTATCCTCGCTTGATGAGAGGCAGTGTAGCACAGTGAATACAATGTCAGCCCTGGGGTCTGGAGGACCTGGGCTCAAATCCTGCCTCAAGCACGTATTAGCTACGTGACTATGAGCAAGTCTTGACATCAAAGAGCTCCCAACAACTAAGACTATAAATTATAGAGATGCTAATCTGTATTGATAGAGGAAGTATTCATATTGGGAGTTCCTAACATAGATGAAATCACAGGACTGGCTCCTCTCCATTGTTCCTGAAACAAACAAAATCTCCTCAATGGCACCTTTCTTCCTCTTAATTCTGGTAAAGTGGGGTTTTCCCATAATTGCTATAAGGTGATCCACAACATCTTTGGCTCAAAGTGGTCCATGGAAGGAAAAGAAGTGCTATGTTAGACTTATTCTTATTCTAAAACAATCATACTATCTGTTTTTTTAAAAAATGTTTTTCTAAATATTTTCCAGTATTGCAGTAACAGTTGAAAAACAGGACAGAGATCCTGCTTTTATTTATGGATTCATGTCTCCTAACTTCCAATCTTTTTGGCTGTTTTTTCTGATCCCAAAGAGTTGAAGCCAAGAGACCTGGACACTGTGACACTGCAAGGGTGATGCCATGTACTCTGGCTGATTAAGAGTTAACTGCAGAGTGTGTGGGGGGGGGCCCCGTAGGTGCTGCGAAGGAAGGCTATGCCGGATCAGGTAAGGTCTCTTTGCTCTAAAATATTTCCTATAATAAATTCTACCAATCAGAAACTCACGTGGAATAATAAATTCCCCCTTTAAAATGTGAGTGGCATATGGGAAGGTATGCTTTAGTGTGAATTATTTTACTTTAATCCAATAATCAGTACCAATCTATCCACATCCAAATAAGCAATATAAACATTTGAGAAACAATGACTAAGGGGAAAAGGAGGAGAGGATTGATGGAGCAGGAAGATAGAAGTGGTAGAGGAAAGGACACTGAACAGCCAAAGGACCAGAGGTCATAAGGGCACAGTGTGTCCAAAGGTTAGATAAGAAGAGGCATGCAGTAGAAGGGCTTGGGAAAAAAGAGGTAGCAGTTCAAAAAAGGACAAACTTTGCTTACTTTCATAATTTTCCCTAGGACCTTAGTGGCAGCTAAAAAGGCCTACCATAAATTACCAAAGCCTGAAAGAAAACTATAAATGTTTGCTATCTAAAAGGTCTAAAAATCACCAACGCTTAGCCTAAAAAAAAAGTTTCAATCTAAAACCTGTAATGATGTGCCTACCTTAATATTAAGTGTATCACATAAAATAATCAACTGAACTTTAGGAAGATATTTAGAAAATGCCAACCTAAAGGTCCCTCAAGGCTCTAGCTTAAATAGTAGATAGGACTATCATTCATTTTTACATCTCACTCTGTATCTGGCATGGACACTTAATAAATGTTCATTCTGGTTTTCTAATGTAAAAAATCGAAAAATGACTTCAGAACATTAGAATGGCTGGTGGCCTATTTAAAAAACCATACTATAGTGGATCTGTGTCCTCAACATGTAGGCACTTCCTTAAATGGTGCAAACAGCACCTATTCAATCCTCATCTTGTGAACCTCTTGTCTGTTTCCACTAGTGAATCCTCCAAGGAGGTCCACCCACGGTGCTTAAAACTTCCCCACATTACATGGCTGAGCTATCCATCGGTTGTTATCTGCCGCTTTTGACATACGACCAATCTACATCCCCTTTGAATTATATATCTCTGATGAGATCATTTATATATCACTCTTATATACAATTCTTTCTTGGTAATATGTTGCAGCATACTCACACCCACCATGTGTCTTCACATTTAGCTGTTATTGCTTGATAGTTTATCATTTGCCAAACACAAAAATGTTTAAAAACACAATTCTCCAAATTTACCATTAAAATAAAGCTTATAGATTACTTATTTCCTCTCATATTTTACATTTTTACCCCATTTGGGGACTTGCAAACCCTCCTTACTTCAAACACATTTTCTGTGCCAAGTGGCAATTTCTTTTGTTACTAGGGCATCAAAAAATAGCAAGGTCCTAAAAGCATGACAGAATAATAAGAAAGCTACAAAAAGAGAGATGTCTTTCTCACCTTAATTTTATTTAAAACCAATTTTAAAATGTCTTCTTACCTCTAATAAAGTATCATCACTAGTTTTCCCATGGTTAATTGGAAATGGCTTGCGCCCATCTAGGAAAATAAAAGTATTTAACGCTCAGCTCTCTGCTCAAAGTGATCAACATTCAACTCCTATTTTCCTTAATTATAGACAATTCAACAGTTGTAGACAATGTATAATATTGAAGTTTATTCTGCATAGTTAAAATAATAAAACAAAAAGGCATTTTAAATAATACATTTTATCATTTATAATTATTAGTTCTTTCCTTCCATATTTAAGAGCTGGCAATCAGTAAAAACATAATTTGTTAGAAAAATATTTAAACCATTTGGAAAAGATACACTTTGTAGCAAAATATGTTTGTCCAGTGAAAACTGTTATATTCGCTGGTATTATGTTTATGCACATTATTTTTACACAGACCAAAAAATATTCATATTAAAGAAACATATTACTTCCATACTTCAAAGAACCCAAGTTTCATCATGGAAGACACTCGCTATCTCCCCTGATGCATTCTGCCACCCTTTCACACTTTTTCATAAGCTGCTGTGGCCAAAAAAATTCATCACCTGTGGCCACACTTACGGTACTGAACTGATCTGAAGTTAGGCTGGTTTTCAAATTAAGCAGACCACTGTCAAGTCCACACTTGAACTCTTCCAGCTAGAAAGTAACAACGCACCTGAGGCTTCACTGGTTTAAGCTCTAGGAACTTCAGGTAACCTCCAACCAGAATAAGACAAATGAGAAGAACTTAATGGCTTTTACTTTAAACCCATCCAAATAAAAATATTTATTATGTCAGGAAAATATCAGTATTGCCTCTAAGACATCAAGCAGAGAAAGCAAACCCTAAACCTACTAGCTCTTAACCAAAAGTGTATACAATGAATTTTCAATCATCTGGCCCAGTGAAACATAGCACTGACAGAGCTAACGAATAATGACCAACAGAATGAAAGAAAAAACTACAGCTGGGAAGAAAACTCCCAGTAGCTATTAAGGGCTCAAGTTACACACAAATAGCTTAATATACAACATCATTCTTTTTTTTCTTTTATTTTGTTTTTTGGTGAGGCAATTGGGGTTAAGTGACTTGCCCAGGGTCACACAGTTAGTGTCAAGTATCTGGTGTGAGATCAGATTTGAACTCAGGTCCTCCTGACTCCAAGGCTGGTGCTCTATCCACTTCACCACCTAGCTGTCCCTACAACATTATTCTTGAGAGGCTTTTTTGGTTTTGTTCTGTTTTGTTTTCACCTGGCTTGCGATTTCATCTATATAGACAATTTCTAGCAAAGAAATTACTTCTACCAATGCAGAAGGCATTGGTATCTTAGCAATTTTGTGTTAGAGAGGAGCCCAGGGCACTGAAAGGGTTTGTGATTTGCCCATCACTGAACAGTCAGGATGTGTGTCACAGGCATGACTTGGACCTCTGTAACCAGCTGTCTCCTCTATGCTGTGCTTCTCACAGACATATGAGAGGTACCTAGGTGTGCATACATATGTTTGTATTTAAGAAGGTATGTATATAGTCAAGAGGAGGCTATGGTGCCTTGGTGTCAGAAAAGACCTGCTTGGGTTCAAGTCTTGCTTTTGATACATATTGGTTGTGAAATCCAAACAGTGTCCCGAGGTATCTCAGACTAAATCTTGGACAGCAGGTGCTGACCTGCATTGATTGGAGCTTCCTTTCTGGGAAACCAATGAAATCACCAGTCCAGTATATGTGTATGTATAGATATACATGTGTACGTGTACAGGTATACATATATACTATGCATAGTCTTAAGAGAGTATTAAGATAGTAAGTTCAGTATTAGGAAAGGATTTTACAGAACCTAACATTAACTACAAGAGACTTATGGATGTTTGGGGGGGGGGTGAATGTTGTTTTAAAAGCTAAGATATGACAAAAAAAAATCTGAATTCCCTGAATAGGTTCTTCCTCCTCCAATCTATCAAAGCATTTTGTCTCTCTCCTATACACACAGTTCAATATAATTTTTAGTTATTCATGTTCCTGTTATATCTACTACTGGTCTTTAAACTCTTTCTCTGCTTTGTTTTACAGAAGTGTAGGTGCACAATTGATGTTGACGGTGTTGGAGAGCCAATGTTTCACTTTGCACTATAGTAATTACGATGCTAAGGCAAAATTTATATAAACTAACACACTAAATGGTGACTCAGATTGTCTTGAGCACACCTAAACCTAGCTTTACTGAATGCAGAGTTCTTTATTCATCAGTGACAAATTCAATTTCTTTACATAAAAATGAAAATATTCATGAATTCCATGTGATTTTAAATAATTTTTAAATATAACTGATACATAAAATGAGATCTTTGAAATGTAACATATAAACATGTTTTAAAACTTCTAGTACTTATTTTTTTTTTAAAGAAAAGTACTGGGGCAGCTAGGTGGCATTGTGGATAGAGCACTGGCCCTGGAGTCAGGAGGACCCGAGTTCAAACCTGGCCTCAGACACTTGATACTTACTAGCTATGTGACCCTGGACAAGTCACTTACCCCGATTGCCTTACCAAAAAAAAAAGTTTATGTGTGTGTATATGTGTGTGTGTATATATATATATATATATATATATATATATGTATTTCTGATGATTAATAGACATACAAATACAATAGAATGGAAATGCTCCAACTCCTATAAAAATGTGTTGTGGGAATATCAAGTTTTGCAATTTACAGCTATCAAATACTTTCAGTTTCTCAATTTTGGTACAACACTGATACTTCATTTTACCCATATATACTTAAATGTGATTTTGTGTTTCAATGTCAGAAGTGTTCAAATTACTTTCCATGGCACTCAATATTGTAAAACCACATGTTCTCTAACTCAGTTACTAAAAGTGAATTGTTAACATTTGCAAAATCCATAAGAGGGATCATTTTTCATAACTTAAAATAGAAAGTACTTTATTGTTTGTATTTTCTACTTTTAACTTGTTTTTTTTTTTCTTGTCTTCTCCCTTGGGTCTCCCCCCTAAAAAAGACTCAAAATTACATTCTAAATTTCTTTTTACTGACTTTCATCCACTATCATTTACTTATTAAGAACTGTAAAACTAATTGCTTGATAATCTTATTTGCAATGCCAAAAGGACATGGGAAACTATTTGACAGCACTATCTCATTCCAATATTTTGAATCAATCCTGGATCCAATAAAGTGGGTATGATTTATCACTTTTATTATAATAATTTTACCATCATGCATAATATTTGTCTCTTGGACACATGCTACCTTAGTATTTGAAAAGGTATTACCTCATTAAATTCTCTCAACAAGCCTGGGAGGTAGGTACTATTATTATTCTTCTTACTTTACCAAATGAGGAAACTGAGGCAAACAGTCCCTGTCCTCGAGGAACTTACACTCTAAGGCAACTTCTCCCATTAGAATGTAAATTCCTTTAGGACAGGGATTGTTTGCCTCAGTTTCCTCATTTGGTAAAATGAGAAGAATAATAATAGCACCTACCTCCCAGGCTTGTTGAGAGAACTTAATGAGATAATATTTGTAATGTGTTTAGTACAGTGCCTGGCAATAGTAAATGCTATATAAATGTTAGCTATTGTTATTATCATTATCATTATCCAAGTTTTTGATGAAAACACTGACTGGAAAAGGTCCAAATACAAAGCTGTGTGGCACACCCCTAGAGACTTCAATCTCATTTTCCAGACCTCCCTTTCCAAGAAATCAAAAGGCTGAAATGTAGTACAGGCTTTTGGAAACACATCTCTGCAGGCAGAGAGAAGACTTCAGACACTAAGCTTGTGAGCTTCAGGGAAATATAATCAAGAAGGAGAATGTCCTTACTGACCTGGGTATTTCTGTCTGGGATCACCCACCAGGACACAAATTTAATTATTCACGTTCCATTGAAGTGCCGATGTTTATACTGATGCTATGTTGTTATAATTCTAAATGTTCAGTGTACACCAGAGTTGATGTTGCAAGGGACTGCAAAATTCCAAACCCAGGAAAGGAATGCTGCAGGATTCTGAAGATGAATCTCTATCTCACATCTCCAACTTCCTACTAGACCCTTGGAACTGAATGTCCATAGACATCTCAAACTCAGCCTATCCAAAACTGAATTCGTTATCTTTCCCCTCAAGCCTTCCACTCTTCCTAACTCTCCCAATCACTTGAGTTCAAAACCTAGGTGTTATCCTTGATTCCTCACTCTCCCCTTCCCCTCCCCCCATATCCAATCTGTTGCCAAGTACTGCCGATTCTACCTTTATAACACCCTTCCTCTACTGTGCAGGCCACCAGTTCAGATTTAGATTACTTCAATAGGCTGCTGGCTAGTCTCCCTGACTTATGTCTTTCTCCACAAGTCTATCCCAAATCAAAGTGATCTTCTTAAAGCTCAGGTCCGACCAAGTCCCCCTCCTTATTCAATGAACGGGAGGGGCTCCCAATCATCTCTCTCACAGCTCCCTTCATGTCTCAGCCAAAATCTTAACTTCTACAGGAAGCTCCTCCCAATCCTGCTTAATGCTGGAGTTCTCCCCCTGATTATCTCCAATTTATCTCGTCTCTATCTTGTTTGTACACAGATGTCTGCATGTTGTCTCCGTCCTTAGACTGTCAATTCTTTGGGACTAAGGGGACTGCTTTTTGCCTTCTTTCTATTCCCACTGCTTAGCACAGAGCCTAGCATATAGTAGGCATTTAATCCTTGTTGACTTGACTTGCTAGATATCTCCATGCAGAGAGAAGTCTTTACACACTAGCTAAATGTACTTTTAGGAAACAATTCTTGTCTGAGGAAGGACTGAGTCTACTGTAAGTTCTGAATGGAGCATGGCTGCCAAAGGCAAGCAGTGGGAAGTCAAAATAGAGATGTTTTAATTATTAAGGGAAAGTCATGCTCCTCTGGCCAGCAAAGAGGGAAAATAAAAAAGGGTAGCTCTGTCCATATTCTGAAGATGGAGATGGGCTAAGAGGGAAGATCTGATTTGTCTGTGATACACCTGTCTATAAAAGTTTACCACTGACCTCTCCTTTCTGGACTCTATTCTATTCTCTTTTTTGACAATCAAGACCCCTGTTTATTTCCTATCTTCTGGAATCTGTCCTAGCCTCCAGATTCTTCAAAGATTGCTGATAGTGGTTCCACAATCATATTTACAAATTCTTTCTATATCCTGCAATGCTATGATGGGCTAGAGACCAAAAATCAAAGAAGTAGATGGTCTGCCTATCTCTTTACCTTCCTGGATCTCTACCATGATTGTTTTACCTTTTCAATTGAAGATCATTCCTCTCCTTGATGAAAAAACAAAACAGAAGACAGTAATCCTGTTTTCTGCAATGGTAGTAGTCAGTAATTCTCCTCTGTCACTGTTAATCATGCTATACCATCTAAGCAATGAGTCTATTCCTTACTGCCTCTTTTGCTTAACTTAAACATCCTAAAAAGCCCCTTATCCAATTCAATTCCAACAAACATTTATTGCCTGCCTACTACGACTAGGAGGCACTGAGGGGGGAAATAAAGATAATTAAGACATAGACTCAAGTTTACAAACTAGTTGGAATAGCTATCATTCTTAGGATTTTCCATGGGCCTGATTTCATTGAGGTTTAGCTTTCCTGACACTATTACTGCAGGCTCACATCACTCTTTTGTATTTGTCCTTTATTTTATGAATTTCCTTTGATATTCAAGAGAGATCTTGTGCTAATCAGAAAGGTCTTCATGTAACCAAGTTTGTTTCTTTGGGTGTTTTCTCTTTTTCTTCTCCAACAGCATACTTTTTAATTACACTATTACTCCTGGCCTTTGGAAATATGTTAGCTTAAGGTATGGTTCTAACTACGCCCAGCACAAAAGCCTCGGCAATCATGAATTCTAAAACAGCACAGCCCCTTCTCCCAAGATTCCCATCGCTTCTACTTCACCAATCAGTTCTTTTTTGTTGCTCAGAATTAAATGGATTTAAAGTAGTTTTCTATACTGCTTAAAAAAAAAACTGCTCAGAGATGAAATGATCAGTTAAGTTAAATCAAGAATTTATAAGACGCTCTTGTTTTTAAAAAAGAATGAAACTTGTAGCAAAACATGGAGACAGTTGTAGATCAAAACCAATCTTGCCACTTGTATAAAATGTATTAGGAAATCCCAATGTTCTGCACACAGTAGGTGCTTCAATGTTCTGTATCATCTGTAGCTTCTTTCTGACTAGGTGTTATACAATATAGCCTCATAAAGATATCACTTGTTTCTTTTTTCTTTTGGCTCACTAAAATGCACTCTTTGCTTCGAGCCTCAGGTTCATGAATTTCCACATAGCTATATACTCCTCACTGAGATACTCTTCTGTCCCTTCTCTTAAGACCTCTTTTTTAAGGAGGAGGCATCCATTCCCATTGTCAGGTATGGGTCATGAGCCCCACCTTTCCAAGTTTTGAATGATACTTACAGAAAATAAAAATGTAGTATTTCACTAAATATTATAAAAAGAAAGTTAAAACATCCTCAGTAAGTAATTATCTTACTGAGTTGAAGCAAGTCAATCCAACAAACATTAATTACTATGTTAAGCATTGAAGCTACAAAGAAAAAAAATGAAATGGACCCTGCTTTAAGAGGCCTTTTTTCTACTGGATCAAGATAAAATGTCTGTATAAGCTCAGACTCTGTAAATGGCTGTATTTAAGCAGAGTAGCCCTACTGCAACAGAGTTGGTTGGATGAGAATGTGAATTCAGATAAAAGAAAAGAATATGACTGTAATTAAGGATGGCTACTTTGACTTTATACCACAAACTTTATGGAGCACCTGCCAGAAAACTCAGGCTCCCGACAATCTAAAAAAAAAATCAGATCCTGATAAAGGCCATACCATATGATGACACCATATATAAAAGCCTGATAGTTAACTAACTGTAAACATTGTCATACATAAAATCGTCACTATAAATAAAAAATTCTATTTTAAAATTGTTTCCTCAGTCATTCATCTTTCTGATAAGGTCTTGGGATCATCACTGGTCAAGATTGAACCAGTATGTCCAGATAGAGATTGTAACTTACTAAATACTTTAATCCAAGTTTCACAATGATTCATAGCAATTTCCGGTAATGGTGTTTTGTTTCCTGATCTGCTACAGTACAAAGGTGGTGCTGACATCCTTGAATTTAAGTTTCTTAGACTTAAAACAATTCTATTTTTTCCTGGTTAATAAAAAAAAAATCTTAAAAGGAAAACTCAGCTGGCACAATGGCAACATTATGGGTCAATTAATGAACTGAAATAACCAATGAATAAATATCAACTTCAATAACAACACTTTCTCAGGAATGTAGAGATTTTAACTCCTTTTCCCCTTTCCCTTGCCAAGATAAATTAAAGTAGTTCTTACCTAATTCATAGAGATTCCCATCTACATGAACTAATGCAATAAAATGCAGATCTACTTTTTCATCTATACTTGGTGCCTGAAATAAGAGGAAAAATACATATTATGTGCATTAGTAATCATATAATTCATCAAACTAAACATCAATATGAGAAAATACATATTTACATACATAAATACATAAAACATAACACTTAGCTGGTGCCAGAATTCATAGTCTGAATCTAGACATGGAAAGAGCGTCTTTCTACTTAATTTCACTGTGTCCATCCATCTTTGCAAAAGGTAACTGCAATAAAGGCATATTGCTCCATAATGTATCCCTTTTCCCATTTAGTCTTTCATTAAGGCCAAACTGCTCCCTTAAACAAAAGTGCCTCTTTGGTTTTCTCCAGGAAAGAGATCAGTGCTAGGGATTTAGATTTTTTTTTCAATTTGAATTTTTTATGAAATAAAGATAATGCAAAAGTAGTAGGGTGAAATCATTTGGAAAGACTTTTCTAGAAAAAAATTCAGGTAACCTATAAAACAAAATTATGTTTTTCCTTAATCATACTTTAACAGAAAACTACCAGGAACAAAGGGATAAAAGGAATTCTCCAGGCAGGGTCATCCTAGATCCAAGGAGTATGAGAACAAACAGGTACAACAGAAAAGCCTAAATTTCTTGTAAAATGGAGATATCTGCACTACTTAACCCATAAGGTTACTGTGAGGAAAGCACTCTGTAAACCTTAAAGCACTTTATTTGTATTATTACTGTCATTACTGTTGCTATTGTGGACTTTTTAGGGGAAGGCGAAAACAAATTCAATCCCAGTACACCAGTAACATGTTCACTTGGCCTACTAGATAAATTTCTATACTAAATTAGAAATGGCAAATCTGAGAATAAAACTATAATTAATAATTCCACCACCCTGTTTAAATGTACATCACTACTTTTCAACCTCCCTAAGAAATTAAAATAGTTATATTTAAAATCAATTAATTATTATTAGGCTAGTAGTTTCCACTATAACTATCAACTTAGGCCTAATAATTATTAATAGACAAAATTATGTGATTTGCAATGGACTACAGGTATTATTTTTGCTATTAAAGATATCCTGAACACAAAAGTTAAAAGAAAAAACATTCAAAACACGGACAAATAAAAATATATTTTACACAATTTAAGGCATCTTGTGGTAAAGTTTGGTATCTTAGGTCCAAAAAATGTAGTAGCCATGGCAAAGTCCACTTATAATTTTAAAAAGTTGTACTAAATGTCACTTTGGGGTAGAAGTATAAAACTACAGATATTGTTATCATGTCTTTGCAACATGCAAAAAATATCATGCAACATCTTTCACAGAACTCATAATACTTTGGGACATTTTACTTTTCTCACTGTCTCCATAAAGATATAAGAATATGTTAATAAAAGAGAATACCATTTAAATATTTCTTGATGACAAGTATATCATCAAATTACTTAAGAATTTTAAGGGAAGAGGAAAGTGAATAAACATTTATCAAGTGCCTATTTTATGCCAGGCACTTTACAAATATTACCTCATTTAAGAAATATTGCTAATTTCATACCTCAAAAGCTACAGGTAGCTCTATATTATAAATAGCATACACAAAAAAAGGATGTCTAGATTACTGATTTTAAAAAAAGCTTTACAAATTAAAATTAATGACCACTCAGATTTTTTCCAGCTCAAAATCTATTATCTTACGACTCTCCCTCTTGCCATCCCCACATTATGAATGATAAAACTGAGGTACAAAAGGGGAAATTTTCCCCCAAGTAACCCAGTGTATTAGTGAAAGTCAGGTTTCTTTACTCCCAGGCCAAGATTTTCTTGACTACATGGAAACAGCATTTGAACTTATAAAATGAGTTCAAGTTTTTAAACCAGATCTTAGGATTCACACTGCTCTAATGATATAATCAGAATGGTCAAATAAGCAATTTCTTCATGAAAAGATATTACTGTGTTGACACTGAATCTGTAACATAACGCTTCTAGCCGACAAACATGCAGAGCTGGCTACTAGCTGTTGATGGGGAAAAAAAAAAGGCTACCAAAATTTAACTCTTCTTGAGTCATTTAAGAAAATTACTCCCCGAACCCCAAGATTATTCTTCCCATTCTTGAAGGTATACATTTTCCAGAGTATTTTTGTGTTGTCATTTAAAGCACCAAAACTAAGAAACTGGAAAAAAAAACTGCCTCATATACAAAAAAATCTCTCAAACTTAGCTATGTCTTCAGTATTCCAATTAGTGCTGGCCTAAAATTTTCAAAAACAAAACCAGCCAAGACAAACAAAACATCTTCTAACATATTCTAATGATAATTAAGTTTAAACACAATGGAGATGTAAAAAAAAAAGCAATGCCTGAATGCCTATCATAATCCTCCCTAGCTGGTCAACCTCAATTAGAACAACATTCTAATAATTTTGAAGAGGGAAAAAAAAAACCCAGAAGCATAAGCACTTACTAAGCACCTACTATCTGCCAAGTACTGTACTAGGTGCTTTACAAATATTATCCCATTTGAAGTAACTGAAACATTTCACCATATCGAAATAAAAGGAAAAAACCAATTAAGCAAAAGTTATATTGCTACTTCTAGAAAGTCTTCAGTTTCAAAAAATGGTTATAATTATTTATAGCTCAAAGGCCAAAAACTGATTTTGCCAACTTTTCTTTTTTAAAAATTATATTCTTTATACAACCTCCCTGAGAATACACAATGAATTCCTACTTATTCTTAAAAAAAAAAAGTGACTTAAATAAATGTTAAATACTGTTAAGCAAAAGGAAAATAAGGCAAATATGCAATAAAAGATGCTCATGAAAATTTAAAATTCAAATTAATTTTATGAGAAAATAAGATTTCAATGAGTGGAAGTAAAATGGAAAATAAATTGAATGTCATATAATGCAATGGTCCCAAATTTTAGATTTGCATTTTAGTTTAGGGATTGCTCAAACACATTAAATGCTAAATTTGATTTACATTTAGCATTAAATCTACAGTGTGTTGCCTATTCTTGGTTTTAAAAATGGGACTCTGTTTCAGTCCTTGGCAGCTATATCAACAATAGGTCATTAAACAAAGCTGGGCCTTCGTATGTTTATGGCAAATTCTACTGCATGGCTACTTTGGTGACACATGCTAGAAAATACCCATACTCTATAGTCTCAGGGGAAAGAAATTTGGCAATAACTTTTCATTCATTTTTTTAAGTCCTGGGCTAAGTTAATACCTAAATTCTCCCTATGTTCATTTCTAGTAATCATAATTGATATATTTACTTGTGATGTTTCCTATAAATAACATAGCAACATAAATCAAAACTTGAGATAACAAGTTTCAAAAAAGGGTTCAGCCATGCAGAAAGGCAATGGTGAAGGGCAATTGCTGTTGTTCAATTCTCCTATTTTATTTCAATAGGTATACCAGAGTATAGCACTTTCCCTAAGAATGCAGGAATAAACACAGTTTTTTTTAACAATTTTACATATTGGTAGCTTAACAAAGAGGAAAAGATTGAAATGTGGGAACATTTAACAAGAAGAAAATCTTCACCTCCAACCTGGATAAGATCTTTAGAAACTAAATAGGAAGGGAAGATCAGATAAAGATTAAACCAAGTACCTGAGGCACCTCAGGGAATAATACCTTAGATGAAAACACCCTACACCATGAAGGATTCAGACTGAGGACAGAATAAGTAAAGTGACCCCCAGGATGAGCATGGCAGAAGACTAATGTCATGTTCAATAACATGAAAAAATAAAAACAAAGTTACTGATGGCAAAGAACTTAGAAGCTGCAAAGCATTTGTTGATCAGTGTCAACTAAAAGAAACCAGAAAGATGAGGTGCAGAAGAATATAGATTGACTTTTGAGAGCTTACAGAAACCTGAATATTATGAATGTCGATCAATACTTTTCAAAAGATATTGGCAGGCCATGGAGTGGAAAGATGGATGCTCACCAAGATGACGGCACAAAAGTCAAGCTAGACAGCAAAGCATAAACAGATGTATGCTTGCAATCTTGTGTGGGGAAGGGGAAGCTAATGGTTAAGAAAACCAAGAGAAAAGCATCTTGAAGACTGAAGGAGCGTAAGTGGCAATGGATTGTCCTGGTCACGGGAAGAAGAGTTGGAAGATTGACTACACTTACAACAGAATGAAGCCCCACAGACGGCAGGCGTAAGAAGGGCCGCCAGCGACGAAGACGGAGAGATGGACTGGTAGCCTTTGCTGGACCTACATGGTTACGTTTGACCCAGGGCAGGGATGCATGGTGACACAATGGTGAGGCCTTCGTTCTGCAGTGGCTAGAATGAGGCTGGGATGAGGATGGCGAGGACGACTACATAGATATTAAAAAAGAGAACATTTACTTAGACCACATTAACGGGTTAACAATTTTTATCCCTAACAGGCAACATAACGTCACACTTCAATTCATAGGGTCTGGTACTTTTAATCAAACAGCCTAGTAAAAGATTCAGTTTGAATACTGACTAAAGGAGAAAAAAATGGAAAATACCTGGTATAAGATGTAGCTACTTAAGTACCCTGCTTCTCTATAAGATGTTTTAAGAGAACATACATGAAGCATTTATGCAATCCTACTTTGCCTCCTGCGTAAAGACGTCTATGGAATGGGAAAACAAGCAATTCAAATAGAAATACTACATCAAACTGAAAACCCCCATCAGTCCCAACAGTACACTTGTGATGGAGTGAGTGCAGAACAAAGGTGCAGGGTTCCAAAGCAAGTGAGAATTCTAAGAATGAGAATTCTAAAGGAAAAAGTCCAGATGAAACTTCTGAAATAGATCACATATATACAAACTAACCTTTTGCACAATTGACTGCTTAGGTTTTCATGGAAACAAAACCGCCCCTTTCTTTGCATAGGACCTCTAATTTGGCCTACTTTCATTAATCAAGTGGCCAAGAAAAGAATTTTACTGTTAACATACAGTAAAGGAGCCGGACCTTGCTGAGAAAAGAAGCTTCGCTTTCCTTCTAGGCAAGCTAGACATTTTTAGAGACCTATTACCACTTTCAGGATAGTACAAGACCATCAGGGGTTTAGAAGCAAGATCTAAGTTAACTTTGGACCTCAGTGTGCTCATCTGTAAAATGAGAGGCTTGGTTTTGATGGCCTCTAAGTTCCCTTCTTTTAGCTCTAAAATCCTATGGCCTATTTTGGCAAACAAACATCATCAAGGACCTACTATGTGCAAGACACCATGTGCCAGGTGCTAGGGATACCAAGACAAATACAAACTAGACCTTCTGGTCAAAGAGCCTACATACTATTTAGTCAAAATACTTACTCATCACATGGAGATTTAACTGTTAATATACTAACAGAAACTTAATGTCTCACCTAATGGCAAAGTTTAATAATATTCATTTGAATTAATAATTATTAATAAAGCAATTTATATATCAATTTATTTATTAATAATTTTATAATTAGAAGCAATTTTATGAAAGTCAATAAGTTAAATTTATAATGAATATGTAAATCTATGGTAAGCATGGAAGGATGCAGTATTGACATTGACAATCCATTTATAACACTAATAACATGCTCCAACTACAACATAGTTACTTGATTTTCCTATACAAACAACACAACCATTACAGAAAAAAAAAATGGCCACAAAGAAAAGTTGTAGGATTTTTCAGGCTCCACAGTGAGAATCATTTGGATGAAAACTGGAGATCCTGAGTCTGAAAAAAGAAAACTTAAAGGGAATATGATCATTGTTTTCAAATAGTTTAAGGGTTGACATGTAAATGAAGGGTTCAAAGTTATAAGGAGGTGGATTTCACCTCTATATAAGGAAAACTTCCTAAAAGTTAGACCTTTCCAAAAAGTGAATGGACAAATTAGTTCTCCAATTAAAAAGATCTAATTAATCAGGGCCTGGAATGGTCAAGGATACTGCAGAGGGAATTCAATCTTGTTTCAGGTAAGAGCTGAACTAGATTTAGAAATCCCAAACTCTAAGATTCTACGTACAAATATTTACTGAATGTGTACTACCCGTAGATCATTATCCTTGTAATACAAGGGCACAATGAATTATAATACGCCATTTCCAACACAGATTCAAATGGGAGATTTGCAGCTAGAAAAGATTGCAGAGATTATCTAGTCTAACCCCTAATTTTAAAGTTAAGGAATTGAGGTCAAGAGAAGTGAAATGATCTATCCAAAGTGACACCCATACTAAGTGGGACAGCAGAGATTTAATCTCAGGTCCTGGCATATTTAAATACAGTACACATTCCATTGTATCATGTCATGCAAACTTTTAAAGGATGGCTTATTAATTCAGGAAAAGAAGGCAGCAGCCCTATTCTCACACTATTCAACATAAAAATAATATTTCTGACTGTAAGGTTAAAATATGCCAAATTTGTTTTTCTATAGCGATGATACAACCACAAATCACACTCTTTTTCGATCTTTATCACTCATTCATGAAATGATTGACTTGCATCAGAGGTACCGCTTACAGCAAAGGCAAAGAACACAAATGATCTTTATGGGAACCTACTTAGGCAACCTGATCTCACTAATATGCTCAAGTCAAATGGCTTCAAATAGTCACCAAAGCCAGGGTTTAGATGTCTAATGAAGATTTCTTCAATTTATTCTCATTCTTATTTTTCCAGTAGTCCCACAATCTCATTTCATCTTTATATCTAACTTATTTATAAAGAGTGGGACAGCATTTCTACATTGGTAAGGATGACAGAGCTTTTCCACGCTGCACCCATTTCTGATGCAACCAAAATCCCAGGGGATCTATGTCTAAGACAAGTTCATTACCGAGACAGAGAATGACAAAGTGAGGAAGGTGGAGAAATAGATTTGGAAATGCTCAGTGATGACCTAGTTCTAGCCTTTATCACCACTCACCTATACACTGTAGGATCCTCCTAACTGGTCTCCTTCCAGTCTTTCCCTATCTAACCCATTCTTTATATAGCTGTCAAAATAACCTTCCTAAGGCACTCCCCTGTTAAAAATCTTAGGTGGCTCCCCTACTGTCTCTACAATAAAATATAAACTCTCCAGTCTGATGGTTAAGGTCCTTCACAATGTGGATTCCAACCTTCTTCAGCCTAATATTCACATTACTCCCTTTCACACAATCTATATTCTGGTTGAAATAATCTATTACTCATTTTCCCAATCATGATCTCCTGCTTCCATGCATACACAACTCAGAATCAGAACAACTCACTCATAAAAATTTCCAACATTGTAGCAGACTGTCTATAAAAATGTTTTTGGTCTCAGGAATTGGGTAGTAGTCACAATGTTACAAAATTATATGAGACAAACTCTTTGAAAACAAGCAACCTACCTAGAACCACTAATAATAAATATTATGCCATTCTTATTATTTAGCACTTGCAGTACTAAAGGATTTTTTATGCTTTGAGGTTATCTATATTTTCTCAGATATAGTGACAAATCCACTTTTTTAAAGTGAGGTTAATATAATTTTCAATGAAAACATAACTATACAGGCAACATCATATAGTGGATAGAACTGAAGTGCTGGATTTATAAGACATAGATTAAAGAATGTATGACAATAGGAAAAGTAACAAGTACTCATCCAAATAAGTTCTTTCATCTATAAAAAGAGGGTAATAATAACTCTTGATTACTTAACACAGAGGTTTACTGTGAAGAAAGCACTTTGTAAATGGCACAGTGCTATATAACATGAGCTATGACTGTTATAATGATATAAGGAAAAAGTCTTGATGTGGTTTAATAAGCAGAAGTGGTTTAATGCGATTTAATAACAGAAGCAGTCAACATTATAAACTACAATGTCGTAAGTAAGCCTGACACTAGGATATAAATTCAATTCTACACAGAAATCCTTAGTGTAATAATTATTAAGAGAAAAGAAGAGGAAGCAAATTTTCTTATAATTTGGCATTAATTATATGGTGTTTCCTCACACATGCTTTTTAGTTAAGTAATAATGCCCAGAAAAATGAAGGACCATTGAATGTGGAGTCAGGGAGCCTAACTCAAATCCTACCTCTACTGCTTGATTTCTGTGTGAACTGAAACAGATCACTTCATCTCCCTGGTCTCTCTTCTAAGACTGGAAGTGCATATTGCATATTTCTACTTGAATATCCTGGTTCAAACTTAGTGAACCTACAACAGACTTCAATGCCTCTAGCCAACTATTTCCCTGTCCCAACTTATTTATGTTAATAGTACTAATAGTTTATCTCAGTAACAGATTCAAAAGTTCAGCATAATTTGTGCTTGCTTTAATTCCCCGTCTTTACCTCCCTCCCATATCTAATCAGTCACTGAGTATTGTCAGCTTTTCATCTCTCCATTATTCCTATTATTTCTCCCAAATATTCCTACTGCCACTACTCAGGATTAGGCCCTTGTCAAACATTACTTAAGACTACTGGAATAGCCTCCTAATTGAGCTCTCTGCCTCTAATGTCTCCCTTACACAGAATTAAGCCGTAGGCTTGGCACAGCAGATAAAGAACACTTGACCCAAAGTCAGTTAGACTTAAGTTCAAATCATACTACAGGTATTTACTAGCAATGTGATCCCAATCAAGTCACAACTTTTCTCATTTTCAATTTTCTTATATATAACAAGAGGACTGAAGTGACTTTACGGGGTAGTTACAAGGATCAAATGGAATAATATGCTAAAAATGCTCTGCAAATCTTAAAGTACTATATAAATGTTAATAATTATTCTTGCAAGGAGCAGATTAATTTTCCAAGTATAATTTTCTGGGGAATTTAACATGCTAAATTCTGCACATAATTTTTGAAAATACAAGCTGCATAGAGAGCTGCATTTTTATGTATACCCTCTTTTTTCTGTTCTTTGTATTTGGAAATGTTTGTGTTTGATGATTTTAAGTTTCAAATAACAAGAAAAAAATTTTTTTAATTACCTCTGTATTTCATCCTGTGGCAAATTCATTGTTTTGCACAGTTAGCACTTAATAACTCATAGTTTAATAAATAAACTATTTTTTCCTAGGTATTTTTAAAATTTTGTGATAAATTCTACTTTTAGTTAAGTTCTACCTAGAGTACGTAATCATTTATGGAACTTCTTCAGAGTTTTGAAATCTTTCACAAAAACACTAGAACTTCACACTAGAGCACAGTCTTCAGGTTCTGATCACCAAACTATTATGTCCACAAGGTGCTCAGAACACAGTGGTCCTTCATATTTTTGTTTAACCTTTGGGCATTTTCTGAGCCTGTCCCTCATGACTGGAACGCTCTCATTCCTCATCTTCACCTATGGCTTTCCTGGC